TCTATTATTCCACTGACATACACATTCTCCCAAGATTGACTTCGCCCTGCGTGGCCTTATCGAACGTGCGTCATTCCCTTGTCTAGAGTCAGGAAATTTGACCGACTCCTTCTTCTTGACTGCGTGTATCTCTTCTTGAGGTTTGTATTTCTCTTATTATTGATGATCGATATCCCTGTGACCATATTATGCGGAATGGCTACCAATGGTGTTTTGAAGACGATAAGTTTCTTTTTTTAGCAGGGTTTTTAAGGCCCAGAAACCCTTAATGGTTGGAGATCATGTGCAATTATATATACAAGTGTAATTTCTATGTTTTTTTAGTGTTAAAATGCTCTCCTCTAGGCTTCAACAGTGTCTTTAAGGTAAATATTCATCCAGTTTCCTTCTAAGTGCCACTGTTATGTCTGGCATTACTACGTCCTGTTATGTCCTTTCAAGGCATGGGCTAATCACTGCGAACACGACTGACCACGCACATTTAAGTGACAAAGGTTTTTATAAGTTTATGAAGTAATTGGGATGCAGGTCACAGACCCGATGCGTCAAAAGTCCTCATGGCTTTATGAAAACTCCTCGAATCTGCCTGTATTCAAGAAAAAAATATTAAGTGTGTCACGCCTACAGTGGTCTGATAAAAATGTTTGACCCTTTTTTAATGTTTCTTCCTAATTTGAACCACTTCCACTAGTTAATGCTCTTTTTATGTACAGGAGCTAGCCCAAACCCGTATTCCAGTTGCGGACTGACAATAATCTGGGATACATTTCCAAAAACTACTTTGTCTATATCTACGAGTGTTATTTAATGGTGTCCCGGAGCATTGATAGGATGTATTTGACGGGGAACAAATGGTGATGAATATGTCCTTTTGCTTATTTTCCTTTGATGGTGGCTTCCCATTCAGAAATTATTGATGAGGACCCTCTTTTGTGTTCACGACATGGATTGTTAATTATGCATTCAGTGTTCCTATCCAGCGATAAATCAGTTCTTCTTAAGAGACCTCATAAGCAACTGAAGTTTCTCCAACCAGGCCACAAATAATTATTACGGATACCACTACCTAAAATACGCTTTGCATTTTCATATCGGTACCGACTTTTAACCACGCTAGATGGTGGTGTGTTACCATTTGTATGTTACGGCCACTCGGAGACTATTTACACCCGAACAAGATGGATGTCTCGACATTGTTATAATAAAGGCAGTAGACTTAATTTGATAACGTTCCTTATGAATATTCGAAGGGCGTGGATGCAGGGCGAAAAAAGAAGAAATTCCGTTAGATGACCTGCCAATGAACTGCTTCTGGATTATGGTTTGCAGTGCTACACTTCTGGGCTTGTTGACAAACGGTTGTGTAGCATAACAGAGGCGGCAATTGCAATCGCGCCGTCCCCCTACAAACAAAGGCATGCACGAGACGATCGCATGACATTTCTGGGGATATGCACCATAGTTGCACGTTCCAAATTAGCCTTGGCCTGGCAGGCATAAGCGCAAACAAACTGAATAATGCACACATACCTTAATATCCTAAATTGCAGGTGTACTTCCTGAAAGGAAAATTTGACGCATAATCTTAGATAAAGTGCTCCTAAAATGTGCATCGAGCTACGGCACAGGCTTCGATCGGGAAGCCCCGTATTTATCAATTTTTTGACGAAATTGTTCCCGACACAGCCGGCTTATGGATGAAAGGTGGACATAGGCCAAGGAGTAGGCGGGACAGGACTGAAATTTTGAACTGCGGGAATCACTTGAGTGTGTCGATGTGATGTGTGCATAGACCGACACACTGTAGAAGGTTATGACTGTTCCTCGTCAACTGATGATAGTTTCGCTGTCGGTAGGCATGGTGCCTGTTAGTTTTACTATGCATGTAACCGTGGCCACGGAAACTACGTACACGTTATTAATTGCTTGAATCGTGCTTGTTGTAAAGTATAAGACCACGCATGAGCTGATCTAGAATGACTACTCCCGAACATGATTCTATTCTTTTCTTGCGAACATTTTCTCTGTTTTGTGATGGCTACGGAACTAAAATATACTTTACGATCGAATTCACATTCTTCTTTCAAAATAGGTTAACACGCATAATACCTTAGGTGAGCTTGAATATACAAAAAGAGTAACACAAGTTCACAATTTCCATATGTAGCCTCCTTATGCTTAAAAAATAGGCAACAAAGGACAAAACAGTTCCAAAGTAAACAGAGTAACACCTACAATGTCGAATAGAAAACGATATAGCTATTTAAACCTATTCACCTGCTTCTTCATTGGCCGCAACACACTTTCAAAAGGCAGAAGTCATCAATAGTAGGAGTTTAATAGCGTTTTCAAGTTTCATGTCTCAGTAGCACCTTCTATAGCTACCTAGACTAAAGTGTCTGCGAGCATGACTCCCCAGAATTCTAGTCAATTAATTCCCCCATAAATTAATACACAGTAAGATATTTAATGTCCCTAGCGAGGTTCACCTCTTACATCTGGCACTAGCGTTCATCTCGCATTGTTAATGCATACAGACTGTAATCGGCTGACGATAAGGGGCTTTATCAACTGAGAAAGGATCTCCTTATATCAGCATCTTGGACTTTGTACAGTAACTGATGGTGTGCGTTAGTTTCGATGGCTTTCTTAAGTCGATATAAGTAAAATCTTCGCTTGTATCTTAACTTACGGATCTGTACCGAACATTAATTGAATGAAACATATTGTTCGAATCGAAGTGGGTTTATCGAGACCCAAGCTGCTCAGGAATCTTTCTACTTTTCCTTCTTCTTCTTCTTCTTCTTCTTCTTCTTCTTCTTCTTCTTCTT